CTCTGTCGCTCAGGCTAGAGTGCAGTGGCTTGATCTTGACTCACTGCAACTTCCGCATCCCGGGTTCAAGCAATTCTCCTGCCTCAGCCTCCCAAGTAGCTGAGATTACAAGTGTGTGCCACCATGTCCAGCTAATTTTTTAATTTTTAGTAGAGATGGGGTTTCACCATGTTGGTCAAGCTGGTCTCGAACCCCTGACATCAAGTGATCCACCTGCTTCCCAAAGTGCTGCCATTACAGGCGTGAACCACTGCGTCCAGCCAGAGACAATACCACTTAAATGGTGAACACAGCATTCACTGCATCATACAACCATTTCCCCAGGAAAGCCAAACATGACGAAGACTTGGCACTTTGGTGGAACTCTCTGGAAAGGGGTGTCTTCTTTTCACCAGAGATGTAAAACAGCTCAAACCCCATGACGGCTTCCCCTTAAACTTAAGAGAATCCCATATCTTTACTACTGCCCCGAGCAAGCCCCCTGCAATCTGACCTGTGGCTGCTTCTCTGACCTCACCTCTACTTAAGTGTCACCTCATCAAAGGGAAGCCCCTGCACCCTCCATATAAAATAGCAGCCCCTAACCATCTTTCTCTGTCCCCTTCCTGTTTTATTTTTCGTATCAGCCCTGTCATCTCCTGACACATGATATACTTATCTTCTGCCTTATCCTCAGCGTCTGGAATGGCGCCTGGGATGGTGGCACACTGGAGCACACACACCTAAGTAAAGGGACAGCTGTTCCTCAGCTCTAGTCACTGTTGGTGTATAAGAATGTGGACCCCATGCCTGGGCAAGGTGGCTTACACCTGTAATCCCAGCACTTTGGGAAGGCGAGGTGGGCAAATCACCTGAGGTCAGGAGTTCGAGACCAGCCTGGCCAACATGGCAAAACCCCATCTCTACTACAAATACAAAAGTTAGCTGGGTGTGGTGGCGCACGCCTGTAGTTCCAGCTACTTGGGAAGCTGAGGCAGGAGAATCAGTTGAACCCGGGAGGTGGCAGAGGTTACAGTGAGCTGAGATCACACCACTGCACTCAAGCAAGAGTGAAAGAGTGAGACTCACTCCAAAAAAAATGTGGACCCCCAAACCTACCAATTTTTCCAAGAAGCCCCAAATTGAGATTTTTACATAGACTCTCCTCCTGATTCTTAAATGTCAGCTAGTGGGTTGGGTGTGGTGGCTCACACCTGTAATCCTAGCACTTGGAGAGGCTGAGGTGGACGGATCACAAGGTCAGGAGATCAAGATCATCCTGGCCAACATGATGAAACCCCATCTCTACTAAAAACATAAAAATTAGCTGGGCATGGTGGTGGGCACCTGTAGTCCCAGCTACTCAGGAGGCTGAGACAGGAGGATCACTTGAACCTGGAAGGTGGAGGCTGCAGTGAGCTGAGATCACGCCACTGCACTCCAGCCTGGGTAACACAGCGAGATTCTGTCTCTAAATGAATGAATGAATATGTCAGTTAGTAATTCACATCTTTTAAAAGCAATGTACAAGTCACCGGGGTGGAGGCCAACAGAACATGTCTGCAGCAAGCCGGTCTGTGAACTCAGAGAAGCCACAAAATTGAAGTTTACGGAGGATGTGACTGAAGATGAGAGGCTGGTGTGCTTCAACATTGAAGGTCAGATGAAAAGTACATATGCGGACACGCATTTCCTTTTGCTCCATTTCAGGCTGCGCTGGCAAACAGTGTGAGGTGGCTGAGTACATCTAGCCACGTGCCTCTTTTTTTTTCTTTCCCCGTTCAGATTGCATCTCTTAAGGCTTCTGCGTTTGCCGAAAACTGGCGTTGCCATTTTACTCTTTCACTTTGCAGGAAAATAACTCCAAGGGGAAACTGACTGTGAAGCCTTATGGAGTGCCCCCTCAAGATGGGGGGAAAGAAAGGAAAGAGAGAAATATAATCAGGCACTCAGAGTGGAGACAATTAAGTGCTGGTGGAGCAGCAGCCATGCCTATGCGGAGCACATGCGCAAAAGCATGCCGATGGGACTTGGTGCTGCTGCCTCGTGCTGCAAGGAGCTTGGAGGTCGCGAAGGTAGGGCTGTATGTTAATTTCATGAGAGGTGCCCAATGCTTGATCAAGGCAAACTAACACGGCCTCTGGCTTGAAGGGCACACACACATCTGGGGCCGGGACTGTAATAGACTGCGGGGGGCTAAAAACCAGCCTCCCAATTAAGAGAAATGGATGGCTGTTTTGCACAGACTGATCCTGAGCAGGGGGCTATTTGGTGCAAAAGCAAATTGTCTGTGTGTTGTTTGGGAGCTGAGTTTTAAAGGTAATTAAGTCCACAATTTTGCCTACTGTTTAACTCCACTTTAATGAACTGGGCAGAGAAACAAAGTTGTTGGGTCATTCCATAGAAAAGGAGATTTATGTTCTGTTTTAGGGAAACAAAAATTTCCAACATATTCTCCAGGTTTTTTGCAACCAGGGTGTGAAACAAAGTGATCCTTGATCTTCACCTGTCTTTCCTTTATCAGCAAATAAGGAAGTACAAGCATGCGACCAAAATCGGAGGGACATTTCCCGGACTGCATTCCCATCTCCTGTCAGAGTCCTTCTCATTTCACAAAAGCGACACGCAGAAGCACGACTCTGCCTTTGTGGTGACACCACTGAATCTGCAGCTGGGGCCCGCAGGTAAACAAACGCTGTCCCGGCAAACGGGGCAGGGTCTGGCTTAGCAACCTGCCTTTGACCTACCACCTCTTGGTAATTTTGCTTCTACATAACTATGGAGATGATCTACTCATTCTGCTTATAAAAATAATGCCCTTGGAGTAAACCCCAACCAACCACTCCCACCTCCGTCCTGGCCCAGGCCTGTTCTGCCCCAGTGCACATAACCTTCCTTCGTTCTATATCCACCTTGTTCACACTGTGCCTGCATCCTGCTCCTTAAACAAGCCTGGCCTCGTGCCACTGCACTTCCTGCTTTCTGTGTCTGGAATGCCTTTCTCATTGCTCCTTGTGAAGACACCTTTTTTTTTTTTAAGACACAGTGCCGCTCTGTCACCCAGGCTGGAGTGCAACAGTGTAATCTTGGCTCACTGCAACCTCTGCCTCCAGGGTTCAAGCAATCCTCCTTCTTCAGCCTCCTGAGTAGCTGGGATTTTTTTGAATTATAAGTAGAGATGGGGTTTCGGCATGTTGGCCAGGCTGGTCTTGAACTCCTTACCTCAGATGATTCACTCACCTCGGCCTCCCAAACTGCTGAGATTACAGGTGTGAGCCACAGTGCCTGGCCCCAAGCCACTCCCAATCCATCAGGTTTCAACTGAAATGTCATGCTGGAAAGAGACCTTCCTTCTCTCTATTCTCTGTATCCTGGCTAACACTGCCTTCTCTCCCACACCATCTTACTGTTCCATCTTTCTCCTCTGCTTTCTTCAGAGAACGTGTTGATACCTGAAATGATCTCATTGTTTATTTCTTGCTTTCTTCTTCATTGTCTGTCTCCCCTTCGGAATACAAGTTGCTTACGAACAGGCACCTCTCTGGATGGGCCCATGCCTGTAATCCCAGCTACTCAGGAAGCTGGGGGGTGAGAGGATGGCTTGAGCCCAGGAGTTCAAGGCTGTAGTGAGCTATGATTGTGCCAATGCACTCCAGCCTAGGTGTCTTTAAAAATAATAATTAAAAAATGGCCAGGTGCACCGGCTCATGTGTATAATCCCAGCACTTTGGGGTTGGATCACGAGGTCAGGAGTTCAAGACCAGTCTGGCCAATATGATGAAACATCGTCTGTATTAAAAATACAAACACTAGCAGGGCTCAGTGGTGCGCGTCTATAGTACCAGCTCCTTAGGAGGCTGTGGCAGGAGAATCGCTTGAACCCAGGAGGCGAAGCTTGCAGTGAGCTGAGATTGCACCACTGCAGTCCAGCCTGGGCAATAAAGGGAGACTCCATCTCAAAACAATAATAATAATAATAAAAATAAAATTAAAAAGTATAAGTACCTCTTCAATTTTGCTCATTTCTGAATCTCTGGTGCCTAGGACAGAGCCTGATGCTCAGTGAGAGATGTTTAACAAATGCTTTTGGAAGGAAGGCCTGGGATATACTTCTACAGTCCAAAGGATTTCAGGAATGAAACGGAAATCTGAGGGAGGGGAGTAAAATGTCCTGTTGTCAGCCTCGTAAGCTGCTAAACTGACATGGACTCCAAGCTAAAGCTGCACAGGCCTCTAGGTTTTTAAACACATGGCTCCTGCTGCCCTGGGGGTGGTATTCAAAACACTTACCAGTGCATGTCAAGACATGTGGATGGGCTGAGTATCAGCTCTCCTCCGTGCCCTCACCAACTTGGCCCTCAAACCCCTACCCAGCTTTTAGGACCCGGGAGAAATGTCACTACCTCTGGGAAACCTTCTGGGATCCTCTCCCTCCTCTGTCCTCGCCATGCTCTGCCCCAAGCTCTCTGTATTCTCTCGCTGTACAGACTGTGGGCTGGTGACCCTTAGAGGTCAGACCCCAGCCTCACCGACCCCTGGACACTGGGTGCCTCTAAATGCTGACCTCCCAGCCCAAGGTCCGCTCAGCAAAGTGTGTGAAATAAACGCAACAGTGAAGGCGCACAGCGGCGAGTGAAGGACAGAATAAATAACCGTCAGAAAGTGCCCCTAGGGGCCACTGCAGCACTGAGCCTCACCGTCCTTCAGGTGCCCCGAGCTCAAGGCCAAGCCCATCCCTACCTGCGGACGATCCTCAGAAGTGTCATGTGCCTGGACAGTCACATCCCCACACAGCTCAAAGTCTTCAGAATAGTCCACAGGAGGTTCGATGTGGAGCCGCGGGCCAGCTTCTGTTCTGATCTGCACAGATTTCTGTACAAAAAATTCAGAACATTTCAGATAGGGTGGAATGAGGTCTTTATTCCTCTGCAGGGCAGAGGTGCGGCTGGGATCTACAGGCTTAGATATCATGGGTGATGTGCCTGCATGCAACAGCAGTGGAGTCGTGATGAGCAGAAGCCACAAGCCTCCATCTCATCTGGGCCAGCAATGGATGGACCACGCCACCTCGCTCAAGAGTCTACTGCTTCCTGCTGTCAAAATATGTGCAGGAAAATTTTTAAAAGTAACTTTTTGGTTAGAAATTATTTTTCTATTTTTTTTGAGACAGGGTCTCACTCTGTTGCCCAGGCTGGAGTGCAATGGTATGATCTCGGCCCCTTGCAACCTCCGCCTCCTGGATTCAAGCTATTCTCCTGCCTCAACTTCCCGAGTAGCTAGGACTATAATCACCCGCCACCACGTGGTGAGTTTTTTTGTCCTTAGTAGAGAAGGGGTTTCACTACGTTGGCCAGGCTTGGTCTTGAACTCCTGGCCTCAAGTGATCTGCCCAAATCGGCCTCCCAAAGTACTGATATTACAGGCATGAGCCACTATACCTGGCTGGTTGGAAATTCTTTATTAGTAGGCTGTTAGTAGGTGCTAAACTTCTCAAAAAGGGATTTGTGGTCAAGGCATGGTGGCTCACATCTGTAATCTCAGCATTTTGGAAGGCCAAGACAGGAGGACCACCTGAGGCCAGGAGTTGGAGTCCAGCCTAGGCAACATGGTGAGACCCCCATCTCTATAAAAAAATTTAAAAATTAGCCAGGTGTGGTGGTATGTGCCTGTTGTCCCAGCTACTCGGGGAGGCTGAGGTGGGAGAATCGCTTGAGCCCAGGACTTTGAGACTACAGCGAGCCAAGATCTCACTACTGCACTCCAGCCTGGGCGACAATGTCAGACCCCGTCTTTAAATAAAAGAAAAGTGGGGAGCTTTGTGATCAGACTTGTTTGGGAAACCCTGGCCTATCCACACATACCACAGATATCCTAGAATGAAACAGAATGGAACATTTCTCAAACTTTCTGGACTGCAGACACTCTGGACTAGGGCATCTCTTCCTTCTAGCATTCCTCAGATCATTCTTTGAGAAGGAAACTCATTGCCCTGGTGTGGCATATTGCAGACTGCCCCCCAGTGTCCACTGTCCCCTTCTTCTATTGCCCGGAGTTTCCAGATGTGCACATAGAGACCCAGCCTCCCCTATAGCTAAGAGGAACCACGTGAACACGTTCTGACTCATGAGCCGTGGGTGGGAGGGAGGGACGTGCATTCTATCTTCCAGGTGTCTCCTCAAAGGGCTGGGGGCCAGCCTTGGAGGCCCTGCAGCTTCTCCTGCCAGCTGGAATGGGGAGGTGGGAGTGAGCCGACTGGTGCTGGGGGGAGGAAAGCAACATCTGGGGGATGTCAGAGTAACAGGGGTTCCTCAGTGACCTCGTGGAACAAGGGAAAGTGCTCCCATCTAAGCAGTGTTGTGTCAGAGACAACAGCTTTTGTGCTGTTTAAGCCACTGTTATTTGTGTCTCCCTGCTGGAGCAGCCAAACCTGTACCTTAACTGATATACGCGGCACACAAGGTTCCCTACGATGTGGCCACAGCCTACCTTCCTGCTCTGATTGCCGCACAGACAACCACACACCTGATAATCGGGCTAAGCGAAAGGGCTTCTGGGGCTGCGAGCATCCAGGCTGGGTCCTTCGGGAAACACCTCCCTTGTTTTCCTCTGGGACCCGTTTTCCTCCCAACCCTCAGTCCACGTGTAGCCCCATGGTGGGGATTTGAGACAGGCCTAGCCAATCTACCCATCCTGCCCTCACAACACACTATGACCAGCCAGTTCAGGGATGGAAGCTAAGGCAGCCAAGGAGAACAGCCCTGGATTCCTGTTAGAGCCGCGAGAAAGAGGTGCTCTCTTCTTGCGGGATACAAAGCGGCAGGGCAGTCTGCCAGGAGCTGCAGGAACCATTCTGTCCCTAACAGAGACAGCAAAGAGAACTGAGACGCTGAAGCAGAGCCCTCATGGGTTTTAGAACCCCTGGATTCAGCCACACCTGAAGCAAGGCCCACTGAAACATTCTCTTTTTTGCGTAAACCAACGTGAAGAGGATTAAAGTTATTTTTAACAGTCTTGGCCCTCCCCTGTACCCTAAATTCTCCCACCTCTGTGCCTTTGCTCATGCTGTTCTCCCAGTCTGAATGCCATTCTCCCAAATCTTCTCCATGCATCCAAATCCTATCTAGCTTTGGAGACAATGCTCTCTGCCTACCCAATACCTGTTCTCTGCCTGACTCTATTGAGGTGGCCATGTGCCCCACTAAGATGGTCACATTGCTGGGGGCCCTTGCAGCCAGGGTTGGCCAGGAGATCCAGGTGTGGCAATGCTGGTGGTTAGAAATCCGTAAGGCGGAGCTTCAGACAAAACTGTTTTCCGGGTAATCAGGAGAGACTCAGTGCAGACAGGACTTCTGCCTTTACCCTTCTACCCTTCTTCCTGACTGGAATGTGGATGGGATGTTTGGGAACACAGCAGCCATCTTGTGAGGATGAGGAAGAAAGCCACACACCAAAGATGGCCCCGTGAAACAGAGGAACTGGGTTCCTGGTGGCATCACCCACCCATGCCACCAGCCTGCCTCCAAATTCCTTATTCACAAACGACGAAAACAGCAGCGGCGTCTCTAAGCTGCAGCAACAAAGATTCTGCTGCAAGCAGCTCAACTGTCTACCACTTGGTAACCCACTCCGGGCACTTGTCACTTTTGCATTTCTGTTTCTGTGGCTCCTGTGTGGTAAAGGACCTGGGTTCTACACTCGGGCAGTCTGTACAATTCCTGGAACTCGGATGCTTATGCCCTGTGTGACCTTGAGCAAGTCACCTAGCTTTCCTGAGCACCAGTTTCCAAATGTGTTAAAACGGCACTCATGAATCTTCATCAGAGAGCTGCCACAAAGATGACACGGAGTGCCGCAGGTGAGCTCTCGGCTGGGGCTTCGGCACACAGCGCCGCGGGGCTGTGCCTATTTACATGGCATCTACTCTGCACAGGTCACCAGACTGCCTCTCAGGTGTATGTTTCATTCAGCAAAGCCCCCCAAAGCAAGCCAACCATGTCCTCTGGTAGTGAACCAGAGAAACTGCCACCTGCTCCGAGGCTGGGGATAAAGCTGCCTATGTTGGGCTCAGTAAGCGGGGGAGCGAGGCACCCAGGGTATGATATGTAAAGCAGCCTCACTCTCAGACACCGACCTGCTCATGCACAAATCCCAGCATGAGGCCTCCTTTAATGTTCTGCCCCAGGGGCCTTGCTTACCTTACCCTGTCCTGGCACTGTTACTGAGAGACAGAACAGGACACAGACAATGTGTGTGAACTCTAAGACTCACATAAGAGGTACTCAAGGGTAATTAGGGGCCGGGCATGGTGGCTCACACCTGTAATTCTAGCACTTTAGGAGGCTGAACTGGGCGGTTCACTTGAGGTCAGGAGTTCGAGATCAGCCTGGCCAACATGGTGAAATCCCGTCTCTACCGAAAATACAAAAATTAGCCAGGTGTGATGGTGGGTGCCTGTAATCCCAGCTACTTGGGAGGCTGAGGCAGGAGAATTGCTTGAACCTGGCAGGTGGAGGTTGCAGTGAGCCGAGATCGTGCCACTGCACTCCAGCCTGGGGAAGAGAAAAAAAAAAAAAGGAGTTTGTCTCTGGAGGATGAACTGGGGAGGAATTGCCCTAGAAAACGCAATTTCCTAGAACTGGTCCTTGAGGCAGCAAAAAAAAAAAAAAAAAAGGCGGGGGTGACAGTGGTGGTGGTAATTAGGGCATGCATTTCCCTTGAAGCCCTGAAGTTAGAACCTTTCCCCCTACAATATTCAATTCCCTGCATGTTTAGTAACATAAGGATTATCTAGACGGTGAAGAAAATGATGTCAGAATCTTACTGACATACGGTACTCTAGCAGTTTGGACAGAACTCCTTTCTGATCCGAGTTCACATGCCCTGCTCTCCCATCAGTGCTTTCACACTATGTGCCATGTCCCTGGGTGCCACTCCAAGCACTTAGGTGCATTTGCTCATTTAGCTTTTTTTTTTTCTTTTTGAGACAGCGTCTCGCCCTGTCACCTAGGCTGGAGTGCAGTGGCGTGATCTCGACTCACTGCAACCTCCACTTCCCGGGTTCAAGCAATTCTCCTGCCTCAGCCTCCTGAATAGCTGGGACTACAGGTGTCTGCCACTAGGCGCAGATAATTTTTATATTTTTTGTAGAGATGGGGTTTCACCAAGTTGGCTAGTCTGGTCTTGAACGCCTGACCTCAGGTGATCTACCTGCCTTGGCCTCCCAAAGTGCTGGGATTACAGGTGTGAGCCACCATGCCCGGCCGCTCATTTGGTTCTAAAGGCAAACCAAGGGGGAAACTGAGTCACAAGAGTGTAAGCCACTTGCCCAAGGCCACACAGTGAGGAAGTTACAGAGCCTAATCAGAGGTCTGACTCTAAACCAAAGAGAGACCAACATTTTCTGTAAAGGGCCAGAGAGTATTTTAGGCTTTGCAAGCTAAATGGGCTCTGTTAGGATATTCAGCAATCCTACTGCAGCTCAAAAGCAGCCATGGGCAATGACTAAATAAATGGGCATGGCTAAGTTCCAGTAACACTTTATTTACAAATATGGGTTGAGGCTAGATTTGGCCCAAGGGCTGTAGTTTGTGGATAAACGCTTGTTCTGCATCGCCACACCGCACTGCCCCCAGCAGGCACGTTGAAGAATAAATGTGCTCTACCTGGGCTGGGTGTGGTGGCTCACACCTCTAATCCCAGCTCTTTGGGAGCCCGACGCAGGAGGACTGCTTGAGGCCAGGAGTTTGAGACCAGCCTGGGCAACATGGTGTGATCCCGTCTCTACAAAAATATACATATATGTTAAAAAACAATGTGTCCAGCCTGGGCTACAGTGGCCTTTGGACTGGGATCAGAGAATTTCCCAGGCTGGG